AATTTCTGAAATGAATAATTTATTAAAAGAAAAGTGAAGAAAATACTTTGTTTTCATTGAAAATTAGGAGAAATAAATCATGAATTGTGTTTCGAATTAATTTTCTTGTTTCTTATTGAAAATAAGATTGTATTTTTTTTTTTAGTTTAAGTAAATTCAATCAATCTTTTTATTTACAGGGGAAAAAAAATAAAAAGCTGTTGCTAACTAAAGGCTGTTTGGCCTAAACTTAAATGAGTAGATGGAGGGGTAGTGAAAAGGCGTGTATTCGTCCGAATTTTCATTGTTACAGTCGTACATTTTCATGATTACTATGTATAATATTACTCAGTAAATTATAATGTGAATATTGTGCCAATTAAAATTATGTAATTAATACAAGTAAGACTTGCATTTGCCTTAAAAGATATAGCAGTACGTGATTATTTGTTTTCAAACACACCTTCTCTGTTTTGAAACTTATAAAGGTATGGATCTCGGCCTATCTGTTTGGTTGAATATAAATGTGAATTCATAGAGTTTCAAAATCAACAGTAAGCCCTATTTTTGTGTGTGTGTAAATAATCTAATCTTTAGATAAATGCTAAAATTAAAATCATTTTTCTTAATAAGAAGAAAAAAGTGCAACTTAAGCACGCCTGAATGTAAAAAGGTGTACCCGACTTATTCGTTCACGACAAGAATTTACCGATTTCGGTATTTTAACAAAACTGTTTACGAGGGCAAATAAATAAATGAATGCTATCAAATCAACATTTAAATTTACGTGGATTTTTCCAAAAGAATTTATGAGTATGCACCATCAGGATTCAAAAATATTTCAAACTGTCCTTATTAGATGTTATTTCATTATGATTCTTTAAACTTACAAGTCGAAGATGCTAGCTTTTGTGAATTGTATTAATAAGTATATAATTTTAAGATGACAACCAAAATAAACCTCATACAAGGTCATCTTTATTCTCAAGTAGAAAGTTTATATAAATAGTTTATGTCGTAGCCATAGCCGGATTTGTATCCCTTGTATCGGATTCTTCTTTCATTCTTTCCAAAAAAGATTAATCTGAGGTTAATATTTTTTTTAAATTTAAACAGTGTTAGCCACCGAGCTTGTTCATTTCTTACTATATAGAGATGAAGTATTTTTTTAGATATTGGCTGTATCTGCCTTTTACAAATAAGAAAATAACATTAATTGAAAAAGGAGACGTGGAATGGTTTTCACTGAGAGGACTTTCAAACAAAGACCAAATGAAATAGATTTGACCAACTATTGGTTACTATACACTTCACAATGAACAAAACCCATACCGTATCAAAATTGCCTGATTTATGACAAAATCATAAACAAATATGTCAGGCAGCAACTTACGACAGCCGCTATATGACATGTTCCTAACCAGGGACAAACACATATATATTGAGGCGGGCTTTAACATGTTTGTGAGCACTCAAACCTCCCTTAACATGGTGCCGTGGTGTAGCAATACAACATTTTTTTTTTTTTTACAGAGAATGATAATTCATTTATATTTCATTTTATCTGAAAGTTGAAAGAGAATTCTTTCACTTAATGGTTCTAAATATTCAATGCGGAAAAATTCTCCTGCCATTACCTCCTTCCTTCCCTCCACCCACAACCCATCCCCGAAATGTTCATCACTTATATGCAAATGCTGACTAATGTTGTATGGTTAAAACATTTAGTTGAGGCAATATAAAGTTTGAGAACAGAAACGAAAGCTTTAGCTTGTTTTCATTTATAAAAGGGCATAACTCAAGAACGGTAACAGTGACGCTACCCAGTTTATAACTTGATCTGTGTTTTGTGGCGATAAGCATTTAGTGTAAGTTTTAAAACATTTGTTTAAGGCATACGAAAGTTAGAGAACGGAAACCAATTATTGGGACTTTCTGGACGGACGGGCATGGGTAACATTTAACGCTACGTCAGGGCAGAACAACAGGTCAATAAAACAGTGACATGCCTTTCCGAAAGTTACAACATTTGCCAGCTTTTGTATATGCCGTATTCATATTGTATACATCAGGTATGTAAAAGATGTAATAGGACTGTGTTCAAGCCTTATATTGTGTATACATCTTAAATGGTGTCAAGCGAATTGTATTTTTATCAAATGCATATTCAGATATTTGAACCTAATACTTTTCTTTAAAAAGACGGCAAATAAATATTTTGAAATTAGCAAGTTGCCATACAGTTGAAAACAAGTTGCCAAACAGTAAATTTGTCAACATGAGCAAGTTGCCGTACCCTAGACTTTATTTTTTATGGTCTATATTCTTTAAAAACGTTCATTTTGACAACATATTTCAGTAAATATGATGCCAAACTATAATAATCTAAAAAAGTGTCTGGAAAAATAATGAAAAACAGTTGAATATCTTGCCAATGGGGCGACAGAGGACGATCGACATCGAAATTTTCAGGTACTAAGTGGCAAGTTCTTGAGTATAACACAAAATCTTGTCTTAATTTTGTACTTATCGGCCTAATAATTTAAAGAATTATATATCAGAAAATCATTTCTTAAGCGGTACCCTCGTCAAATCAGTGGAAATGCTTTAAATTGAATGAATTCTTACCTTGTTTACTTTTTTTTTCCATTTCTCTCAGCTTCGTTAGTACCCAATTTCCGGTGGCGATGATACACAGTGTTTAAGTAAGAAACAGTAAATCAATTTAGCAAGCGACAATTAATCATTATTGTACATCATGTGCCAAACTATTACGCGAGCCGGATTGATATTCGCGGAACGGTTGTACAGGTCGTGTTAACAGAGTTCTGTATCACACCTTATTGTTTGCTTATTTACTGATGTTCTTGAACTGTCGGTTCCTGAGGTACCACTAGCTTTGTAACCAATGTATCGGTATGTGTGAATGGAATACATCATGTACTAAATTGAGCTAAAATATCGTTGCTGAAATTTTCGTTGGTAGCTTAGAATTTTTCGATGAAATGTCCAACGCCCTTAAAGATTTAGTGTGAGATTCCCTGTTCATAAATTCTTGCATTTTACTAACACAGCTCACGGTTACTAATTCCTTATGCAAAGTCGGTCTTACCGGTTGCGTATGATCTATTTGTAACTTACATTGTATGCTCTCAAATTTTGTTTATATTAGGTATTATAGTAGGATCACCTATTTGTTTGTCCCTGATGTAAATTATTGTAGAAACACGTGACATGCGCATTAAACCATTCAATTAAAAGCAAAATATGACTAAAAGGTGGAAAAAATGCTTTATATATCAATATATATGTTATTCTCATTGAGATATGTAATGTATTTTTTTAACAGTTCTCCCAACATTTCTATATTTGCTTTTAGACACATACTATACGTACTAATGGGACAGGTCGAGAAGAGTCTTTTATTTCGTTTGGGTAAATAAAGGTATTATACAGTGTTATACAACATAAAAATAACAATGTATGTAATAATAACTCTTGTTATAGACGACCATTTGTAAAATTTGCCATGATATTACATGAACGTACAATTATGTATTCATTTTTAAATTATGGTCTATTTTGTGGCAAAAAGGGGTTTGTTCATTGTATAAAACTACTTCTAGCATCACTGAAAACACATTATGTGTCGAAATCTGATGAAAACAAATGGTATCGTTTAATATTATCATAGTGAACATTTCCCGTTCCACTAGTTGTACCCGTCTTTAGACCCTTTGTTACCAAAAAAAAGATCAAGCGTTCAGCATAATGAAAAAAAATGTTCATGTAGGCGGTAATACACTGCATAGCTTCATAGGCGTTGACTTATTTAAAAAAAAACACACACACACACACACAAAAAAAAAAGACAGACACTTACCCTATTAGTTAGGTATTTATAAAAATAATAAAATGTGGTATGATTTCCAATGAGACAACTATCCACAGGAGACCAAAATGACATTGTTCTTTTATTATTAACTTGATACTAAACTGTTAGAAATCCAATATAAACCTAAGGTGCCATTGTGAAAAGGAGTTTCGTGCTTTTTTTTGTTTGTTATATGCATAGTATTGTCTGTTGTTCTTCAAATTCTTATTTTTGATAGGATAACTGTTCATATCTTTTTCCCTCTTTTCTCCCCTATGCCGTTTTGTATCGGTACCAAATGACCGAGAAAGGTGTTTTTGCCAAGTCTAATGATCATATGAAAACAACGATTAACAATGCGAGTGGGGGAGCTATTCAATGATGATCATGTTTGTTCGTTTTGGCGTTCGTATTTAAAATCTGTTATTCTTCTAAACCTATGGCGGGATTATCTTCGAACTTGCAGAAAATCTTAAGTACCTAATGGTAATAGTTATACATCTCTCCTTGAATTATTTTGCAGCTAAATTACTTGGTATTTTATACCCCAAAAAGTGGGCGTGACCATTACTGCATACATAAATTTTTTTTGAGTAGACATTTTATTACAACTAGTCCTATAAAACAACTGAGTGATCTTCGTTGAATGGAATAACTTTTTAATCTAACATGAACCTAGTATTTTGATATCGTTTCCATCCTAAATATCAATCGAGGTAAAAGAACATTGCTTTTTCCATGCAAATGATATTGCAAGTCAACAGTCTGTAAATATTAAAGGTGATGGTATTTTGACACAAGGTTTATTTTTGAAAAGCATTGAGGTAAATTTGGTTTAAAAAAATTTGATGGGCAGTTCATGTTTATATTGTGAAATGCCAAGCAAATCCGTTCGACAGGCTATCACATATTGTGCGAAAAAGATACATTTGAACGATGCAAAAATGTTGCATTGATTTAATTCAATAAATTTTATACGACAAAAAGCACACATATAATGGTAATGAAAATGTTTGGCAGTCAAATTATCCATCTTAAGTATGCACATCATATTGTTTATATGAATTATTACACAATTTCTTTTCATTACACGAATACTTAAGAAATTGCCGAAAATCTGATATTAATAGTCAAGGCCATATAATCACGCTGGTGATGGTGTTTGGCCATTAGGCATCTCATCCATACCACCACCGTTTCCGCCATCTCCTCCACCACCACCATTTCCTCCACCATTTCCACCATTTCCACCATTACCTCCGTTTCCACCGTTTCCACCACCATCACTGCCACCACCATTTCCGCCATTTCCACCGCCTCCCCCATCACCACCGTTACCAAAACCGCCATCTCCACCGTTTCCACCGCTTCCACCATTACCTCCGTCACCAGAACCACTATCTCCGCCGTTCCCGCCATTCCCTCCATTTCCTCCGTTTCCGCCAGATGGCATCATTGTAGAAGTTTTTGTGTACCAGCCACCTCCTCCACCCATATTTGGTGTCATGCGTCCATTACTACTCATGTCGGTTTGTCCATCACCTGAACAATAAAAACTAATTGTTAAATACATGTACTGTTTTTCAAATAATAGTCAGGTAAACCATTTATAACGTTTCAAACAATACTGGTATAAGTGTTTGAAAATGAGAGGCAAACGATACTTTAGGGATAAACTCATAAATTGAAAATAAACTGACAACGCAATGGCAAAAAAACGAAAAAATACCAATGAAAAACAGTGTACAAAACACACCATAGAAAACTTTAGATGGAGCAACACGAGCCACAACACAAACCGGGGATGACTTCATGTGCTCTGGAAGGGTAAGCAGATCCTGTTCCCCTTGTGAGACCCGACGTGTTGAGTTAGTTAGTGGTTGTCATTGTCAGGAGTAAGACGTAAGGCATCGCCTTGTTCAAACAATAAAACAGCGGGTTAATAAGTAAAAGCAAAGAAACGTATTTTAAATTGTCCTTAGATTAATGAGTAAAATACTTTGTCTATTAGACAAATTATGAGAGGTTGTCTTAATTTACGAGAGAGAGAGAGAGAGAGAGAGAGAGAGGCGAAATATACCAAAGGGACATTCAAACTTATAAGTTGACAATAAACTGACAACGCCATGAAAAAAAAAACCGAAATAGACCAAAAGACAAACAACAGAACACAAAACACAACATAGAAGAATAAAGACTGAGTTGGAACCTGTGTCGTACTATCATGTTTCAAGAAATAATGAGAAAGTAATGTATTGGTATATCTATGAGAGAAATTAGGGATAATAAGGAGTCAAAGGACGGTGTAAGGCGAAGTAATGTTTCTGAAGATCTCGTTCTACTAGTGATGTCGGAGAATTAAAAAGTTTACTTCAATGTTTACAGACAGTTTAAAGATGAACTAAGCAAATAATACCATTCGAAAATCATCTGTATGTCCAGAACAAATAATATGTACTCTCACAATAAAGCTTAAGATAATATAATGCCAAAAAGACAAAATTACAAGTCACTCGGAAACGTGAACGGCAGCAGACAACATTCAAATTCATTTTTGTTAATATAAAAAACGGAATCGAAATCAAGTGCTCCAAGCTGAAAATTTAAATTCCTTTTTTCTTTTTCATCCTTGATATAGTATTTTAATACAAATCTGCCTCTACATACTTGTCATAAGTTATTCACATTGAACGTGTTTATATATAATCATATATTGATATGCCAAATCATTTTAGTAAATAATTCAATGTTGAGTTATTCAGTATACATCTAAAACTTCCTGTTTCATTGTGTTTATAAGAAAAGAAATAATAGTATTAATTTCAGCACCCACCTTCTTCCCCAATTCTCTCACCTTCTACAAAAAACATATATAATAAATAAAGGCAACAGTAGTATACCGCTGTTCAAAAGTCATAAATCGATTGAGAGAAAAAAAATCCGGGTTACAAACTAAAACTGAGGGAAACACGTCAACTATAAGAGGAAAACAACGGAACAACAGAAACAATGAACTGCAACAAAACCAAACGCCAACATACATAGAAATGGACCATAATGTGAAAAAAAAACCATATCTGTTACTTACATGTATCTCTGCATTGTTGTAAAGATTTGAATCGATTTGAGTTTCCACGGCATCCTTTATACCGGAATCTCTCGCATGTTCCGGTTTCAGTATTAAAGAACCAACGTCTCATCCAGAAGAAACATTTGCCTGAGTCTACTGGTAAAGTACAATCAGGTTTCGGTTTTGGTCCTGGAAAAGTACATTTACCTTGTATTATCATGAAGGGCGAAGTGTTCGATATTGATTTAAAGCAAACCTTCATACGTTTGTTCATTGTTTGTTGTCTGTGATATCAGTTTTTCGCATTTTGTTTTGTCATAAATCAGACCGTTGGAACTTTTGTTTGATTTTTTCTTTTATTTTGTGATGTCGAAACCTTTTATAGCTTACTTTACGGTATTGGTTTTGCTCATTGTTGAAGGTCGTACGGTGATCTACGTTAATTGCTTATATCGATTAGTTGGACTCTGTTAGAAAATTGTCTCATTGGCAATCATATCACATCTCCTTATTTTATAATGCTACCAATGTCCTTAAAGGCATAATATAAAAATAAGATGTGATAGAATTACCAATGAGACAACTATCCATTAGAGTGGTCAGATCTTTGAAATCTACGCACACAATCTATGACTATAAATTAATGTAAATGAATTAAAAAGAAAAAAAACCCATAAAATTGCTGTTTTAGATAAATGACTAGGCTGTTGTTTGATGTTTCCATGGGACATATTAGGCAGTTTAGGAAAAAACATGTACCCATCTAGATTTGAGTAAAAATATTCTTGTCAAAAGTTATCGTGAACTCAAGTGCTTAGTACAATTCTTCCTATTAAACAGAAGCCTCGATAATTTCAAAAGATAGTATGCTATGTAAATGAAACTTTGAGCATAAAACTATTACTAAATTATTGATCTAACGTGAAGTCTTTAATTGAAAGTTCCATTCATTTCATTTATAAACAAGTTTCTGGAACATAACCTCGTAAATAATTTTCAACATTTCTTAATGTCGTCTGTCTTTTTATGAATTATTTTTTAACTCTTGACGTCTTTCGGGTCAAGTATGGTCACCTAAGCTGTGCAGTATAACTAACATGTACTAACTTAATTGTGCAATAACTATAACACATGTAATAGTCTCTTTTGAATTCATTCCATGTAGCTTGGATTTCAAACGATTCAGATAATGGTATTTTGTGAACATCTAGATGTCTTTTTTTTTTTTTAACTTATTGGGCATTGGGTAGCTATATACAAATTTTTCCACCGACAGGTAATTGCTTGTCCAACAATTTCTGTAGAACATTGATATGATAAAGGCCTATTTAAAATCGTAAATGAAGATAAATAAAAATAAAAATAATGAATATCAACGAAAAGGTCCATAGATAATTTCATAGTACTAGTATAATAATTCTTAAAATAAAATATAATCGATCTAGCGTACACGCGAATAATAAGGTATAAATATCTTTCAATCTAAAATGTTCATCTTAAACGACAACAGTTGATCGATCGACCACAACTTTACAAAATTAGCTATTATAATTAGATAAATATGAAGTAAAACTCTGAAATATTGTGAGCCACATAACTATCTTTTGTAATGTATATACGTACGTCTTCTCCCCCAACTCCAATGTCCAGACACAGACACAATCATACAGACAACTAAGATAACTGATATCTTCATCTTGTTTTGGTCTGAGTCGAGAGAGAGGTACATATGTTTTATAGTCTGAGTGGAGGTGTATTACTACGGATATTGATAAGGCGACGGGATGTTTAATAAGTCATTTGAATATCAATCGTGATATACAGGTTTCCGATACTTGAGCTTTGTTTGTGATTGATTTTGTAAGTGGTACAATAAGATAACAATTATTGCTAACAAATTATCTTTTGAAACGTACAATATATAGGAAAAATTAAAAGTACAAATCTTAATTAATCAATTTCACGGGTATAATCTGACTCTAATAAATTTTCAATCCCGCACAGAATACTTGATTTAATTAAAAGTTATTTTTTTTATATAACTAACTCTGTCGAGATAGCAGCTATGATGACACATCTCAAAATGTATATTTGATTCAGCTTCTGTTAATATGAACTACTTCAATTTTGTCTCTCGGTCTGAATGTTTATCGAAATTGAAAAGCAGTCAATCCGTATTATTTGCGCTCTTCATCCGTATATTTTGCACTATTAATACATTATTCCAATGGTGTGTTTTTACACCGTATTATTTGCTCTATTCATACTCTTTTCCGATGTTGTGTATTTTACTCCGTATTATTCTACTTCGTTTAAAAATAAAATAAATGCGTATGCATCATTAATCACGGCATAACAATGAAATCTTATTTTACAAGATAACAACTTGGGAGCATTAGAAGAATTTGGGTTCATTGCAGAATGAAAATTAAAAGAGAATTTGCAATTCATTAAAATTAATAGCGAAATGTTGAAGTGTTACTTATTTACTACCACATGTCAATTCTACATGACATGTCATGGGGTTTACATATTAGAGACGGACGGATGGCAAAAAAAGAAGAAGTAAAAAATGGGCAAACAAAGACAGAATTGAGAATATTGAGGGTGGGGATAACTATAAAGAATAGAGAATAACTGAATTGAATAAAATAGAAGAATAGAAAATTTGGCCTTAAAATAAACAACATGAAAGAACCCCCATCGAAAATCTCATCACTAGTACATTTATTCTTATATTTTTCATGATATTTTTTCGTTGCACAAAGGAGATGAAACAATTCTCGTCAGTGTTACATTTCGACCACACTCTTTGAAATCAGCAACGAAAAAGCTTCACACAAAATTGACCTGCATTCAATTGACTTTATTGTTAAGTATCATGCATGCAGAATAATCAATTGTCGGTCAACCGTGTGAACTAACGTGCGCAATGCGATTTTTGTTCCATTTGTATCATTGACCAATTCAATGTGACGTTACGTTTTGTTTGTTAGCGACGTGTAAGAATGTTTTGAGTGTTTTTGATGAATGCTCAGTGTTTTACGTACATTGAGTACATGGGACATCACATGTTCGGTCAATAAACTATACACTAACTGCTTACGATGACGTCAAATTTTCAATTATAGATTCAGCGTATTAATTACTAAGACACTTGAGCAGAAACAGTTCATTGACATTGTACACGAAACAAACAAGTGTACGCATCCTGTAAAGTTGTTCATGATGTCATACATGAGGGTCTGGATTGGGTTTATAGGATAAAGAATAATAAACAAAAATTGCAGAATAAATGGTTGAAAAATAAAGAATAGAGAAAAGGAGACAAAACAATAAAGAATAGAGAATAATTGGGGTCTGTAAAATAATGAAAAGAGAATAATGGACAAGATAAAAAAAAATAGAGACAATGGTCTAAAAAACTAAAGAAATTAATTATCCCCATCCACCTCCTCATAAATAGCAATGACCAAGCTGTTAACACCTATCAAGTCATCAATCATGTCGTGTATTTAAAGCTTAGTGTGTTCATGTTCATTATTAACAGAAATAGAAGCCAAAGTCCGCCTTAATAAAATGATCAACACGTAAAGTATCCATTATTTTAGATCATCAACATCTTTACTGGTCATGTTACAAACTGTAATTTTAGTAATAATATTCATAAATACATTAATGGCCTTTGGCTGTTTTCTGCTCTTTGGTCGGGTTGTTGTCTCTGTGACACATTCCACATTTATAACCTCTTTATGGGTTAAGTGGACAGTTTTCATTCCATGTCCATTTATCAAATCTTATTAAAGTGAACAGTTTCTCTGGTGATATTCTATTTAACTGTGATAAACAACATTAACTCATAAACAAGTAAGAATCTTAAATTGAAATTAATATTACCAATATAAATGAACAGATCATGTAATTTGCTGTAAAACAAAGAAATTCAAACTAAGCAGAGAAATGCAACTAAACATCCAGGAACACAAACAAAACACATGCTTGAAAGATTGAACACAGTTTTGGAGGAGGCTGTGATACCGATTACGCATGTTGATCATGGAAAGGGAAAAAATAAACATAATGGCCATCCTTCGTAAAAAGGCTGAAAGGATAATGCCTGACTATGAAACATGACATTATGCTGAGATAATACACAAGGAATCAATTAGAGGTATCTGATTGACCTTTTTAGCATCTTCAGATGTTTCTAATGAACACTTTATTTCTCTTCAATGTGCAGAAAAATCAGATTCAATATGTGAAGTCTAAGGGTTTTTTTGGTGGTTTTTTATTGCCAAAAATAAAAGGGATAAGCAGAGCAAATATTCAATAGTAAAGGGTCTGGATGGGGTTTACAGAATACAGAATAATGGGCAAACAGTGCAAAATAAAAGGCTAAACAATTAAGAATAGAAAAGAGTAGTGAATAAATAAGAATAGAGAATAACAGTGTGCTAAAATATACCGAAAAGAGAATAATAAATAAAGTATAGAGAAAATTTATCTAAAAAAAGTATTAGAATGTTGTGCTTAAGATTCCAATATTAATGTTTCTAAAGATATCCAAAAAGATTTTGTAGAATAAATTATTTTACTTTTATTCATTGTCTCTTCATTCAGCGTGAACAGTTTAGCGAGATACTTGTTTTGAAAGTTTATTTTTATAAGCAAAGAGAGGTAAGTTGTCGTTTAAGGGGGTCACCAAACCGCTTCGCCACCGCCCACGTTAAAATATAGATTAGCACTTTGAGAAAATCTCTATGAAAAAAATGACAAATGTATAACGGTTTTGACATTATTTGTTAATTATGTAGTACAGATGATATCATAATATATTTTATCGTTTTCAAAAATATTCATTGTTTTTTAGCATAATGACCTATATTTAGAAATGAAGTTATCATTTAACAATGACCAATAACAAATCCTGCATGAATTTAATTAATAAATGTTATTTTCAATCAACGTTTATTAAAAACATCAATTACTGTTTATTCGAATATTCAATTGCTACAGCAGAGAAGGGTCATGCGAGACTTATAAGTAAATAAATAATGTTATGTTATGTTTACGTACAGTTCATTTGAAAAGGGTATAAATATAACCAATAAATCTTGATTGGAGGTTTCTATGACGGCATTACTTGATGTTTCGTGGAATTCATTAAGTTTAGTAAATTCTGCAGTACCTCGGACGTCGAAGTTTATTTACCAATAAAGCTGATTGAGCGTGCTATAACGACTTTTGACACTAAAATTGTTGATTTTTCTAAGCATTACGTTTAGTGAAATTTAAATTTAAATTTGTAGTTCCTCAGAGGTCCAAGTTTATTACCAATGATGCTGCTTGGACGTTTTTTAATGACATATGTTGATGTTTCTAAGCATTAAGTTTGTCGTAATCTGTAGTACCTCAGATGTCCAATTTTATTTATCAATAAAGCTGATTGGACGTTTTTGATTACTTTTGTTGATGCTTCTAAGCATTTAATTTAGTGTAATATGTAGTACCTCAGAGGTCCAAGTATATTTACCTAATGTATACCATGTTAATGATACCGTTATGTTGGGATGAAGGCAAATATATAACAATTAGTGTTTATACAAAAATCTACATAGAACTAGTATATCCAAGCGAGAATGAAACTTTTAAAACATGTTGTCTGTTTCATATTCTGTTGTGTTTATATAGAGACTGATGGTGACGTTAAACAAGCATATTTTACTGTCGAGAAAGATAGAAAACTTATAAATTTAAGATATTTTGTACATAATGTTAAATCAGATACAATTTGTGCTGCTATATGTTCTCGGGACAATGATTGCTTTTCTGCAAGTTACTATGAAGAAGCTCATTTATGCGGTCTAAGTTTACATGGCAGTGCAGTAACAGCTGACTGGGAAACTGGTTGGTCCCTTCTTAGAAGAAATGATGCAGGTAATAAATCTTTATTTATATCGTTAAATATAAATTAGGAGAGGTATGATTGACAACGAGACAACTAACTACCAGAGAGTAAAGGACGAGAACGTTAACAAATGTAGAACACTAAGCATAACTTATACCATACAATAAGCTATAAAAGGTTGGACACAACAAAGTGCGAAACAGTTTAAAAGAAAAAAACGAAGTGAACTGATTTAATGCTAAAACAATTAAAGAAAAACAAATATGGCAAATATTGCAGAAAGCAACCAACGACAATCACTGAATTACAGGTTCCTGACTTGGGACATGTACATAAAATTTGGCAGGATTAAACATGTTTGTGAGCACTCAAACCTATCAACCTTGGACAGTCTTGTAACGGAAAAACGTAAATACAAAACTGTAAAAATCAGTTAAAAAAGGCTTGACTTATCAAAACGGTACAACCATAACAAAAAAAAAAAAGAACAACAAAACACAAGGTTCCGATTTGGAAGTACTCATAGTTACTGAAAGCTAGTTCGAAGTAAATTTTAACTACTAAAAAAATCAGTATGCATCAAACAGATTTAATGCAAAGACGTCACAGAAGTCTGAGAATATCCTGACCGTGTGAAATGCCAATATGTATATATATACAATATATGTACATTGTCGGAAAATATAAAATTTATTTGCACGATCGTAAGAAACAGGACGAAATACGAGGCTCGCCGAGCTTTTCTCCTGTTTCGTAGAGAGTACACATACATTTATTGTCCGACAATGGACATATATTTGTTTTTATCCGGCATGTAACTCTTGGCATTTGAAGCGTTAGTT